ATTGCGTTTATACTGGTGATCGGAATCCCGTACTACAAGAATACGAGAAGGCTCTTCCCATTGAAAGCTCATCATGGGATCGTACTACACCTCCCGTCATTGTTGCTTAATCGGTAGATCAGTGGTTTAATGCTACCATAGAAATAAGCGTACTTTCGATATATTATTTCAAATACACTATTAACGCTATTTTTTTTACACTATCTAATAATTCTTTCTGTTGCAGTTAATATTGGTTAGATATATTGTGGTTCACATTCCTAGAAGTGCTATGCCTAGCAATCATGGCTAATTTATCAGCTCTATTGGCTTACGAATGAAAACATTAAACTTTTTATGCGCACTCTGATATTCCTTATTGAATAAAATTGAAATTTAATTTTGTCAACATGTTTTACTGCAAATCGATCGTTTTTTAATTTTCATTATGCAATTATTTGGAGAGTTAAGAGAACAATTCAAAGAGATCCAATGCAAATATAAATAACTTCTTATGATCCTTTCAATAATAAGGATGGCAAAAATTATGACTGAACCATTGGAGGAAGTATAAATGGATGTTGTAAGAGGAAAATGCAGTTGTCATGAGACTGAAATCTGCATATTTTTATTCTGTCCATTCTAACAAACTTTCATGCAAATTTTTGCACTCCATCAAAAAGTCTTTGGCTAATTCCTCTGCTCAATTATTTGATGCACAGAAAATACATACACGAATTTTAGGCAAATACGCCATAATTTCAAAATATTTTTTTGCAATGAATTTTGCTAAATTCATAACAATTAAATTGTAAGAAACGACCAATTTTTTTTTGCTTTTGAATTGATCAAAAAACGAAATATTTAAATTCGTTCGTGTTTTATATTTGTTTATCCATGTGATTTTTGTTTTGAAACAAATTGAAGGTAACAAAATGAGAGCAATGATAGAGAAAAAGTGAGCATGACTTTCATTCCAGCTGAGTGAAGAAAAAAAAAAACATTTCTTTGTGATAGCAGCTACTTTTATTTGAGGGGGCATATGGTTGGTAAAGACGGATGACATATCCATTTTTGATGAGTGTTATTTTGATATCAATGCAAAAATAATCTTTCCATCTCTTTCGTATTCAAATTGAAATCAGCAACACGTGAACAGCAAAGCTTGTACTTCTCCTCCAAGTAACTTGTCACATTTTCTTATTTCATAAATTATATTATCAAAATATTCACTTCAACATTTCCTTGATCACATTTAGAATTGCATCGAAAAAGTATCACTCAAATAATTACATAATTTTAAGCAATGAACAATCATAGCATACTTAAATCTGTTCCCAACGTAATAAATACTCGATGAATTTATCAATCTATCCACCATACATTTTAACATTCGTGTAAACTTGAGCTAAAGGTTGCGCTATCTTTTTCAATAATTTATCACAGGAGCTACCGTATGGTGCTACACCGAGATGTCTGTTATGAAGTTGCACTGTCAGGCCATCACCGCTATCGCTAAGAAATGATTGGAGAAGGATAACAAAAGTGAATGTTCCTGAAGAATTCAAGCATGACCAAAGTGACCAAAGCAAAGTGATATTCTGCAAATATTCTGAGAATCAAAATATGCACTGAAATGATTGGAACTAATTCGTCCCTAGTAAAGTTATCATTTTTAATCAAATAGAATAAGTAAAATCTTTTAAAAAGCTTTAACGAACTTTTCACTTTTTTTGTCCCTATTACATAGGGACTCTGGGATTCCACATTCTTTCTTTT